GACTCCGTTTTAAACTCACCAGAAAAAAAACGCTGCACTTCGTCCGCCGAGCAAGACCAGGGTAAGCCGCGGACCTTCACCACGAAGCCCTCTCCGCCTTCGGTACCCAACATCATCGTCTCTCAGTGGATCCTGGCGTCGAGGCAGACTGCACGGAGGGATGAGGGTCAGCCCTGGCCAGTCAGAGAAAGATAAATATCACATGATCCCATTCATTTGTGGAATATAATAAACTGATGGGGAAAAAAATAGATACAGAAACATAGAAGCATTGAACAGAACGTCAAACCTCTGAGGGAAGGCAGGGGAGAGTAGGAAAGGGGGTAAGAGATCAACCAAAGGACTTGTATGCATGCATATAAGCATAACCAATGGACACTGACAGTAGGGGCGAAGGCATGTGATGGGGGGCAGGAGTGGGCAGGGAGAGACCAAGGAGGGGAAAAGGAGACATACGTAATACTTTCAACAATAAAGTATTTTAAAATATATATAGTTCATCCTATATAATAAAAGGCTAATATGCAATTCGACTGAACAGCGGAACCGGTCACTATGACGTGCACTGACCACCAGGGGGCAGATGCTCAACGCAGGAGCTGCCCCTTGGTGGTCAGTGCACTCCCATAGGGGGAGTGCCACTCAGCCAGAAGCCATGCTCTCGGCTGGCGAGCGCAGAGGCAGTGGTGGGAGCCTCTCCTTCCTCCGGGGCAGGACTAAGGATGTCCAACGGCCGGCTTAGGTCCACTCCCCCAAGAGCTCCCTGATGGCAAGAGGGCGCAGGCTGGGCTGAGGGACTCCCTGAGTTTATGAATTTCATGCACTGTGCTTCTAGTCAGTAATATTTAGAGTAGCCATCCTTCTAGCATCATTGTAAAAAAGGAATTCTACTTTAAAAAGAAAACATAAGAGGTGAGCCACTTCCAGAATTGTGACTTAAGAATTCCTGGGGACCCACTGCCCAGTGAAGCAATCATAACTTTTTAAAAAATATATTTTAAAAAACATTTGAAATTTCTGGGATATTGTCTTAAATATATACAGCAAATGAAGAAACATTTATTCAAGAAAATCTGCTAAAACTCAGTAATACCAGTGAGAGTCTATAGCATATGAATGAACCACAGCCTCCATCCCCCTGCTCACCTTGATGAGTTACAATTGTTCACCTGCTCACCTGAAGCTATACTTCAGGCAGAAGTAGCCAAGAAGACTGGATTCCCTAATTCCCCAGCTCCCAAACAAGGAATATAGTATTTCATTGAGAGGGGCAAGCAGTCAATATTTTTCATCACCTCCAACACAGTTACAGGGCTGAAGTTCCTTGTGAATACAGCCAAGAGTTGAGGGACTCCCCTTCTCAAGTCAGTACCTACTCAAAGGGCAGAAGCTCTGAACCACGCAAAGCAGCCTGAAAATACTTGGGTGCCATCATCCTTACCCTGATTGCCTTCTCCAGCTTCCTTATAGGGATGGAGAGATAAGCAAGAAGACCAGAGGCAACTGTCACTGCCCAGTGCCCAAAGCACCAGTTCAAAGATTTTGCTCAGGGATAACAGCAGTCCATAAGAATAGAGTTCTCCCCAAAAGAAGAGACTTTATTAAAAACAGGGTGTGAGGAAGTCACGTCAGAAGACTCTCTTGAAAAAAAAAAAAAAAAAAAAAAAAGGAGCTTTTGGGGGTAAAAAAGAAAGTGTTCAAAATTTTTGAGTGTCCAAGTAGCTTCATGAGAGCAACAATTTAGGCTGTAGGCCAGATAGTTTACCAGAGATAACCAAGGAAAGAGAAAGTTGAAAAGAGCCCTCCTCCTGAGATTAGACAAATTAAGTACTCATGCATGCTACTGTATATTATGGATGAATCTTGAAAGTATTATGCTAAATGAAAGGAACCAGACACAAAAGGCCACATATTATATGATTCCATTTATATGAAATGTCTACAAGAGGCAAATCCATACACAGAACATGTATTAGTGGTTGGAAGGAGCTGGGAAGAGGGGATAATGAGGAGTGATTGCTAATGAGAATAGAGTTTCTTTTTGGGGTGACAAAAATGTTCTGGAATTATATACTGGTGATGATTTCACACTCCGTGAATATATTAAAAACCACTGAATTGAACACTGTAAAGGGGTGATTTTTAAGATATGTGGATGATACCTCAATTACCCTGTTATTAAAAAAGCAACAACAACACAGAGAACATCTCAAAGGAAGCAGAAAAACATTTGAGAAAATCCAACACCTTTTCATGATGAAAACACTCAACAAACTAGGAAAAAAAGGGAAATACTCAACATGATAAAGCGCATTTACAAGAAAACGCACAACCAACATCATACTTAATGGTGAAAGACAGAATACTTTCCCACTACATCAAGAGCAAAACAAGAATGTATCCTCTTACTACTTCATTTCAACAATATATTGGAAATTCTAGCCAGGACAATTAGGCAAGAAAACAAAATAAATGGCAATCAGATTGAAAAGGAAGGAATAAAACTATCTCAATTCACAGACACAATCATGAATACAGAAAATTATAAGGAATCCATAAAAACTCTATTAGAATAAACAAGTTCAGCACAATTTCCAGACACAAAATCAATAATATATAAACATATCATTCCATTTATAATTGCTCAAAAAGAATAATATACTTAGGAACAAATCTAACAAAAGAAGTGAAAGACTTGTACACAAAAAATACAAAACATCTTGAAAAAAATTAAAGTCATCCTAAATATATGAAATATCTCATGTTTCTGGATCAGAAAATTTAATATGCTTAAGATGGTGTGGTAGACAAAGAAATGGTCATGCAAATGGCCACATCCAAATACCCAGAGCCTTATACATACATACTAGAGGCCCAATGCATGAATTCATGCATGGATGGGGTCCGGCTGTCCCAGCCCCAATCGGGGCAGATCAGGGCTGGGCCTGTCAGGAGGAGGAGATGGCGGGAGGTTGGCTGGCTGGCTCTCCTCGATCTGGCCTGATAAGGGCCAGGCCAGCTTGGGGGAGGGGCTGTGGGCAACTGGCCAGTGGGCCCCACCCCCGGTTGGGGTGGGGGAGGCCAATTGGGGGAAGGGCCGGCCATGGGGAGGGGCTCTGATCTGGGGGAGGGACCACAGGCAGTTGGCCTGCCAGCCCCACCCCCTACTGGGGTGGGGGGGCAATCAGGGGTGGGTTGGCCTGGGGGGAGGGGCTGCAGGAGGTTGGCTGGCCAGCCCTTCCCCCTATTGGGTTGGGGGGTGTGATCAAGGGTGAGATGACCAGGGGGAGGGGCCACAGGAGGTTGGTCGCTGGCCCCACCCCCTGATCTGGCCGGTTCACTGGCCACAGTGGGTGTCATAGCGACTGGTTGTATGGTTGTTATAGTCGCTGGCTTTTTATATATATAGATTACCTTACTTGACAAAAGGCACTTTACAGATGTGATTAAGTATGTTTTTGGGGAGTAAAGATTTGTTTTATTTCTACTGAGGAAAGGAGGAAGATAATAGAATTGTATTCCAATTTGCTCTCCACTGTATACACATGTACCCACGCTCATACATAAACATACACACACCAAAATACCCCAAACAAAAAAAAAAAGAATCAAAAATCAAAACACTTTCAAATGCACCAATACATCTTATTTTTTTAAAAGCAAAATTGTGGAAATTTATTTCAAGTGTATACAAACCCCTTGGGGAAGAGTCCTCAGAGGGGAACCCCCTGGGAAGGGGGTACCAAAATAGGAGAGCCCTCTTTCTCTAAAATGGGGAAAAAAATTAGTCCAGTGAGTCTCTGTCTACGGGTTTATAAATGCTGGTAACTTCTTTGTCTGTTCATCCTATTCTCTAATTGGACCCATCCTTATTTTATGTTCCCTGTGCTTTTCTAATTGGCCACTTTCTGCCTTCTCCCTGAATGGTATCTGTTTCAAAGTTTCAAAGCTCACTGGATCCCAGCTCTTCTTCTTCCCCTTATCTTGTAGCATTCTTCTAAAAAATCAGGCAGCTTGGAGCTGTCTCTGCCCATCATGTAAGCATTCCTCTCCCATGGACGCTTCCCTAAAACTGGCTTTCCTGTCTCTAAAATCCTTTCATTGCTACTTGTTTCTGGGAATTCAGGAAACAGTCTTCTGAAATTCAGGAATCATTATATTATTATAACTATCTTCCATGTTTCTGTCTACCTTTGAAATTTTGCTTTTCTTCCTGTTAAGAAGGAAATAGAGGTAAGGGGTGTGTGACAGAGGAAGGTTGTTCTATGCATTTCCCCCCAATATTTTAATTATTGTTGAGAGTATTACGTATGTCTCCGTCCCCCACTTGACCTCTCCCGCCCATTCCCACCCCCCACCACATGCCCCCACCCCCTATTTTCTGTGTCCATTGGTCATGGTCATACACATGGATAGAAGTCCTTTAGTTGATCTCTTACTTCCCTACCCCAACCCCTCCCCTGCCTTCCCTCCGAGGTTTGATGGTCTGTTTGATGATTCTGTCTCTGGATATATTTTTGTTCATCAGTTTATGTTGTTGATTATATTCCACAAATGAGTGAGATCATGTGATATTTGTCTTTCTCCAACTGGCTTATTTCACTTAGCATAATGCTCTCCAGTTCCATCCATGCTGTGCTGTTGCAAATGGTAAAAGTGTCATTGGAGTCCTGGTAGCAGTGAGCACTCAGTGAAATAGCATCTAAGGAGCAAAATAAAGAGCACAGGGACAGGCAATGGGGTGCAAATGGGGGTGACGTTAAGAAGGGAGTGAACTGCAGCTCAGAAATGAGAATCATGCTGATTGGCGTTTCGGGATTCTTGGGATATATTCCTAGAAGTGGAATCACTGGGTCAGATGGTAGTTCCATATTAAGTTTTTTGAGGAAACTCCATACTGTTCTCCATAATGACTGCACCAGTTTTTGTTCCCATCAGCAGTGCACTAGGGCTCCCTTTTCTCTACATCCTCGCCAGCACTTGTCATTTGTTGATTTGTTGATAGTCATTCTGACAGGTGTGATTTTGATTTTCATTTCACGGATGCTTAGTGACTTTGAGCATGTTTTCATCTGTCTCTTGGCCTTCTGTATGTCCACTCTCAAAAAGTGTCTAT